AGGTGTGCCCACCATGACTGGCTAATTTTTACATTTTTTTTTATAGAGATGGGGTATCAGTATGTTGCCCAGGCCGGTCTCAAACTCCTGAGCTCAAGCCATCCTCCTGCGTTGGCCTCCCAAAGTGCTGGTGTTACAGTGTGAGCCACCACGCCTGGCCCTGCGTCATTATTTATGCATATGGTGAATTATCATTATTCTCCTTTCCCCAGGAATGCAGGCCCCTGGGGGATCAGAGCCTAGATATAGTCATATTTGTATTCTGTTGACCCTTAAATGAAGTACACAATCACTATCTGAATGAACAAGTAGTAAGTGCAAGTATTCATGAATGAATGTGGGCCACTGCAAATAATGAGGGGTCTAGAATGTGCAACATGATACTAGAAATAGACTTCAGCAGATGCTGTGGCCTCATGGTTAACTGTATGTGAATGTGTGGAAAGATCCCATCCAACAACAACAACAAAATCTTTCCCACTGGGACTTCAGCTATCCTCACTGGCAAACAATGCTCCCTGCTTGATCTTTGCGGTTCCTGATTTTAATCACGAATGGCCTCCTTCAGGAAGGAAGCATGGAGGGTGAGGATGGAGGAAGAAAGGAGAGGTGGGGACCTGCTGCGTCGTCTTTTAGGATGGGCTCTGACACTCACCGAGTCCTACAATCCTAAATGCACTCTTCAGCCTTGATATTTTTGAAAATAGAGCACTGTACTTTTTTTTTTTTTTTTTGAGACAGGGTATTGCTCTGTCCCTGGGTGCAAAAGCAGGATAATAGCTCACTGTAGCTTTTGCTTTCTGGGTCCAAGTGATCTCTACCAGCTCAGCTTTCAGAATAGCTGAAACTAAAGTCGTGTCCCCACCATTCCCAGCTGATTTTTATATTTTTTGTAGAGGCGGGATCTCACTATGTTGCCTAAGTTGATCTTGACCTCTTGGCCTCTAGGGACCTCTCTCCTTGTCCTCTCAAAGCACTGGAATTACAGGTGTAAGCCACCGCACCTGACGTTGCACCATATTCTTTATTGAATTCTTGGTTATTGTTCCCTATTACTAGTTGCTATGTTAGTTCAGGCAGGCTTTGAACAGAGGTCTGTTTTGAGACTTCTGTGCCTTACTCTACATCTGACATCAAGAAAGTCCTGTGAAAATGAATCCCAGATTCTCTCTCTGGACTGTGGCTAGATGCTGCCTGCCCTCAGGCAGGAGGCATGAGGAATGGCTGAGGATGGTGGGGGGAGGTCAGCAGGGTTGGGGTTCAGGACCATTGCTAATTAGGTCTTCACACTGGACCTTCTGTGATCTCAGAACATCAGACACCTGTAAATAAAGTGTCTGCAACTTATTGCTAACAAAATTAAGATGCAAAACAAACACCGTTTTTCTCTTTATATATTTTTAGATACTGGGTCTCGCTCTGTCACCCAGGCTTGAGTGCAGTGGTGGCGCAGTCATAGCTCACGGCAGCCTTTACCTCCCAGGCTGAAGCCATCCTCCTGGCTCAGCCTCCTGAATTCCCGAAACTGCAGGCCCGTGCCAGTTTTTTTTTTTTTTTTTTTAAATGTGGGCATACACATTTGTGCTAGTAGATGTAAAGAAAAATCCAGAAGAATATAAATCAGATTATTAAAGTACTTGTATTGGGTTAGTGGGATTATTTATGATTTTTGATTCCTAGATTATATATTCTTATAGTGATTGCATTTTTTACGTAGATCAGGTGTAATGATTTTTTAAACTGCTTTTTTGCGATGTTTTATATATATATATATAATGCATTTGTGTATGTGTGTGCATATATATATAAAATGTATATGCCATAAAATACACTCATGTAAGTGAACAGTAATTTAAAAAATTTTTTTCTTTTTTAGAGACAGGGTGTCACTCTGTCAGCAGGCTGGAGTACAGTAGTACGATCATAGCTCACTGCAGACTCAAACTCCTAGGGCTCAAGATCCTTCTCAGTCTCCCAAGTAGCTGGGACTACAAGCACTCACCAACACACCTGGCTAATTGAAAAATTTTTTGTGCAGTTGGGGTCTCACAATGTTGCCCATGCTGGTCTTGAACTCCTGGGCCCAAGTGATCCTCCAGCCTCATAGCCTCCTGAAGTGTTGGGTTGCAAGAGTGAGCCACAGCGTCTGGCCTCAGAAATCGTTAATACCTTCATAGAGTTGTACAGCCATCACCATAATCCAGTTTTAAGACATGTCTATTATTGCAAAATGATCATTCATGCCATTTACAGTCAACCTCCACTCCCATCTCCAACCCAGCCACTGTTGATCTTGCTGTGTGCACAGATTTGCCTTTTTGGGAAGTTTCATATAAAAGGGATCAAGCAAGATGTGGCCTTTTGCATCTGGCTTTTTTCACTTAATGATTTTGAGGCGTATCCACGTTGTAGTGAGTATCACATGTATATCGTGTATACACAGGATATCCGTCCCTTTGCCATGGGGGAGGATGCCACCGCATGGAGGTCCTGCTTTTTGTCTTTCCATTTCTCAGTTGACTGTCATGTGGGTTGTTTACAGGAAAGCCTAATAGGAATAAAGCTGCTATGAACATCTGTGTCCAGGTCTCTGTGTGGACACACACTGCTAATTTCATAATCAGAAAAACAAAACCAAAGGGCCAAAATGAATTCTGGAACTGTTTCTGGAATACTTTCCCTTTTACCAAAATGGGAGTTCTAAGAGTGGGGTGGGAAATGTAAAATAGGAGAGAAAGGAGTGGGCTCCCAACAGCCTTTCCTTCCTCAGACCTGGGAACAAAGAGGTGCCATCGTCCCACTCTGGAAATGGCTCATATTCATGCAGTTATCCAAAGCTTCGGAACACTCAACATCCCGTTTGCCCCATGGCTCCTGATACGGATCTCAACCCAAACACCCACCCCTCTCATGAGTCGCTTAGTTCAAGAGCAGCAAATTAAGGGAACTCCACTTCCCTGATCCTACTTCACTGGGTACGAGCAGGGGTTTGAGTTTGGAGGACTGTGGAGAAAAGCCCCAAGCACCAGTGTTAATTCATGAGCAGAGACTTGAGAGTTTAGCGATTCACGTGTTTCGGCTAGGTCCCTTCCCGGAATACAAAGGTCAAAGGTTGCAGTTATGGAAGGAAAAGGATTCAGAAAAAAACATGGAAAATAGGATCTGGTTCTTTAAGCAGGAAAGAGACGTGGGAAACAATTTAGAGGGAAAGAGGCAAAAAGTAAACTGGCTTTCCAAGCTGGTGTGTCTTATTCACCAAGAAGAGGCAAGAAGTGGATGGACAGCACATTTTGGGGATCAGTGGTTTTTGTTTTTGTTTTGTTTTGTTTTTGAGACAAAGTCTGACTCTATCACTCAGTTTAGAGTGCAGTGGTGCGATCTCGGCTCACTGCAACATCTGCCTCCCAGGCTTAAAGGGATTCTTGTGCCTCAGCCTCCCAAGTAGCTGGGATTACAGATGTGCGCTACCACACTCAGCTAATTTTTATATTTTTAGTAGAGATGGGGTTTTGCCATATTGGTCAGGCTAGTCTCAAACTCCTGACCTTAAGTGATCTGCCTGCCTCGGTGTCCCAACGTGCTGGGATTATAGGCATGTGCCACCGTACCCAGCTGCCAATGTAGATAGACACAATTTTAAAGGACTATGGGAAAATCTGGTGTTAATGAGTATTACGAAGAACACCTATCTTGTTTATTAATTACAGCGGCTCTCCACTGGGAGTTCCTTTAGCAACCCAAGCTCCTTCCTGGGTATCTAAGGGTCTGGCTGATTTCTGGAACCTGCTGCCGAGGTTGCGACCCTGCCTCTGTCTTTCTGACCCTCAGGTTGCGCTAGCGACTCCAGGAACTTTTGTCCACGCCTCTTCACAGACTATCTATGGGACATAGACTTTGAACCTCTCTCTCTCCTTTTCCCTTTCCTTGCTTTGGTTTAATTCATCATTTCTAGGTGTGTGATGACACTCCCTAACTTAACCTTCCTGCTTTCATATTTCAGCTACCATCACAATGATCTCAATACCAGCAGATATCTAGCACTTGGCAGTTTTCAAAGAGCTTCCACTAGATCCTTGCTCGGAATCTTGTGATGCAGGCAGCAGAGCTAGGATTGTCTCCTTTTAAAGGAAATCGAGGTAGAAAAGTTCATTGATGACCCAACATCATAAAAATCATAAAACGGTGAGACCAGGAGCACGTTATAGGTTTCTGAAGTTCTGAAGTTTCAGGCAAATGTGCTGTGATTGGATGTGTTAAATTAGACTAACGGAGTGGGGAAGGGCTATGACAATTGAGAGTAGGTCTGTAGAATACATTCAAAATCATGGACTTAATTCCTTAAGGACATAGGAGCTTGTGAGGCATTTTCTAACTCATTTTTAAGTTTTCTAGATGTCTTATCCATAGAATTTCCTTTTTTTTTTTTTTTTTTTGAGGTGGAATCCCACTCTTGTTGCCCAGTCTGGAGTGTAGTGGCATGATCTCGGCACACTGCAACCTCTGCCTCCTCGGTTCAAACGATTCTTCTGCCTCTGCCTCCTGAGTAGGTGGGATTATAGGAATGCGCCACCATGTCCGACTAGTTTTTGTATTTTTAGTGGAGACAGGGTTTTACCATCTTGGCCAGGCTGCCCTCGAACTCCTGGTCTCAGGTGATCTGCCCGCCTCAGCCTCCCAGAGGGCTGGTAATACAGGCATGAGCCACCGTGCCCAGCCCATACAATTTTTTTTTAAAGGCACTGAGATCCTAAAATTGAAATTGTAGATAAGAGTTATGGGATAAAGAACTTCTACTGAATGATGATTTGCAAAAGTATGTCTTCAATATAGTACTAAGTACTGATTTTATGGGGCAAATAACTCTATCTAATCCTACGACCTTGTATAAAATCTTGCCCTAAACTAAATTTAAATGTATAGATCATTTATATTTAATGACAAAATACTGGTGCTATGTTAATATTTACAAAAAAAAATTCCAGAAAGGAACATGCTTGGAATTCAATGTGAACCAATCAGTTAATTGTTGTGTTTATTCTGATGCTTTTATTTGGGAGTCCCGTATCACAAAATGACATGTGTAATGTTTACAACAGGTATTAGAAATTGAGATGTTTTTATTTTGACTATTTGAGAGTAAAATTGTAGATAATGTTCCAAACCATCATCAAAAATGCAGAGCAAACTTTTCTGTATATAAACTGTACATAAAAACAAGGCACTATACATTTTTGGGGAGTTATTAAGGTAGAAAGGTTGATTCGCATAGATTCTCCAGAGTCCAGGCCATTATGTAGAAATTCTTTGTTCGTTTTAGCACCGGAAGCAGTACTCAGAACAAGTCATACCTAACGCTGCAGGAAACATTTCCAAACGTGTGTGAAGATACGTATTGGTGGCAGAGCTAATTCCACAGAAGCAACTCCAACTACCTTTTCATATTATTTTGACACCAAAACAAATCTCGAAAGTGAATACATATTGCTTTGCTAAATACATATTTGACTTATATGGTGTTTATATAAATATATATATATTTTAGAATCCCCAAACTATCAAAATAACACTTTATAAAGAGAACTGCTTCAAAAAAAAAAGGCATTGTCTAGCTGGAACAAGAAGGCAGGGCTGTCTATAGCAGCTGCAGCTTAAGTGCACATAACAATACTTTTATTAATTCTGATAACCTGCTGAACGGTGGAAAGAAGTTTCCAAACAGTTTCCTTGAACATTTACAAAATACACAACTCCGGGACAAGCAGTGTCTTTAACCATGTCAGGTTCCGAAAACTGATTGAAAACTACTTTGTGAAAAACCACCAGTCCAAAACTCTATATCCATTTCCCTGGGGTGGGGGTATTGGACGTGACCTCGAGGCTCCTCCGCGTCTCCCCACTCAAAACAGGCCTTTTGCTTTTTTCAGGTTCACCTGCTTCCAGGCGGGCAGGGCGTGGTATTCATCTCGTGTCATGTCTAGTGCAAACTGGAACATTAGGAGAAACACCGGCGGCTCAGTGAAAGGACTCTCAGCTTCGTGTGTTGTTTTAGTCCCATCCCCATCCCAGTGGAAGAACCGCTTACCTCGAAGTCTTCGTCGGTGAGATAGATCTCAAGCTTCAGAGGATCGACCCCCTCCGGGAGCGGCCTGGCCAGGAGGTCGGCCAGCGGGTAAATGGTTTTACAGAGCTTGGCTAAGACGTCTTCCACAAGGGTAATCTGATTGGAAACTTCCGTGTCCTAGAGTAGAGGAGGGGGCAGAGGAGAAATGTGTCCCACATTTGAACACGTTTTATCAAGTGCTTGCAAACACACAGTCCTGTGCCATCTGCACACAGCCTGAGGACTCATTGCTCCACGTTACTGAGGAAGCAGCTCTGAGAGATAAGGGATTGCCCAAAGCCCTGCAGCTGTCTGGACTCTTAATTTTAAAAAAATTTAAATTTTAAATTAAAAATCATTTTTTTTTTGAGACAAGATCTCACTCTGCTACCCAGGCTGGAGTGCAGTGGTGTGATCATAGCTCACTGCAGCCTCCAGCTCCTGGGCTCAAGTGATCCTCTTGCCTCAGCCTCCTGAGCAGCTGGGACCATTGGTGTGTATCACCATGCCTGGCTAATTTATTTTTCCTTTTTTTTTTTTTTTTGGGTCTTGCTATGTTGCTTAGGCTGGTCTCAAACTTCTGGCCTCAAGTGATCCTCCTGCCTCAGCCTGGCAAAGTGCAGGGATTACAGGTGTGAACCACCACACTTGGCCCAAAATTATGTTATTTTTTAGAGTGTCTCACTGTCACCCAGGCTGTAGTGAAGTGGCTCGATCATAGCTCATTGCAGCCTTAAACTCCTAGACTCAAGCAGTCCTCCCACCTCAAGCCTCCTCAGTAGCTGGGATTATTGGCATGTGCCACCATGCCCACCTGATATATTTAAAAAAAATTTTTTATAGAGATAGAGGCTTGTTTCTCTGACTTTTAGATGTTTTCTCACCTTGTCACAGAGTTTCAAACAAACCCTTCCTGAGAACTGCCTCTGGAAAAACATTTTGAGACTTTCCCATGAGTGAACTGCGTACTAAGATTAGTAGATCTGAAGTCTAAACACCAGAAGCCTCCAAATAATGGAATTTGTTTAAAAATATTTAAAAATAACCTGAAAAGAAATCACGCCCTCCTTCCCTTCCCCGGCCCCATTTCTTAATCCACAATAGAAAAAGAAGGTCACAAGTTAGAATATTCTGGAGCAGAATCATGTTTTTAAAAAACCACTGTGTGAATTTAATCTGAGCAAGCTTTTCTAGATAAATTCTTTTCCTCCATTAAACTTGTGACTCCAGATTGGCTGCTCTCCTTTTGGGTGGTTGGATGATGGGAATGGATGACTAAGAGCTGTTGCTCAAATCAGAAATATATGGGGCAGACTGGTGGTCAAGAGGCAGGTTTTGGGCTGGGTACAGTGGCTTGTGCCTGTAATCTCAACACTTTAGGAGGCTGAGGTGGGAAGACTGCTTGAACCCAGGACTTGGAGACCAGCTTGGGCAATATGGTGAGACCATGTCTCTACAAAGAATACAAAAATAGGCTAGGCATGGTGGTATGTTTCTGTAGTCCTACCTACTTGGGGGGCTGAGGTGGAAGGGTCACTTGAGCCCAGGGGTTCAAGGTTTGTGTGAGCCATGATTGTATCACCACACTCCAGCCTGGGTGACAAAGCAAGATCCTTTCTCTAAGAAAAGAGACGGGTTTCGGAGTGGTCTTGCCTGCAACTAAGTACTGACTCCTCCACTCGCTAAAAGTCACTTTGGCCAAGTGCCTTCATGTTTTTGTGACTCTGCTCCCACACCAGTAAAATGGGGGTAATAGTAAATAGATCTGGATGGACTGTTGATAAACGAGAAAATCAGTGTAAAGTGCTTGGAGCTATGCCTAGTGCAGCGTGAGCACTTGGAGAATGTTAATTATTTGTATAACTTGCTGGTGTGGGAAGCCTGACTTTTCTCTGGCTGGAATCCCACAGGCCTGCACAACAGTAAACAGCCCCGCTGCCAACCCCCAGGATCTATAGTGAATACAGAGAGAGGGTGGTGAGTTACATCCTTCTGAAACTGGCTCAACTGTCCCACAGAACTGATGTTTATGGTTTCTTTTAAATAAACATTAAAATTAACTCTCCCAGTCCTGAAACTTGAGAAAGTTATATTTGTTTTATCTGAGCTGCTTTCTCAGGAAACCAACCATTAGGCCACTCTGATAGTATCAAAAAGCCAGCAGTGGCTCACACCTGTAATCCCAGCACTTTGGGAGGCTGAGTTGGGCAGATGGCTTGAGCCCATGTGTTCAAGACCAGCCTGAGCAACATGGCGAAACCTCACTGAAAATACAAAAAAATTAGTGGGGCATTGTGGTGTGTGCCTGCAATTCCAGCTACTTAGGAGGCTGATGTAGGAGGATTGTCTGAGCCCGGGAGCCGGAGGCTGCAGTGAGCCATGATTGCGCCCCTACACCTCAGCCTGGGCAACACAGCAAGATCCTGTCTCAAAAAACAAAAACAAAAAACCTAAAGGTTACCAGACCCCTCACCCATCATGATGCCTAACCAACTCCCTGCTTTCTGTTAACTCCTCTTCCTCACCCTAATTCCTGTTTCCCACACATGGTTACATTTCTTCCCTGCTATAAAAAATCCTAGTTTTAGTAGGCCAGAGACACAGATTTGAGACTTATGTCCCATTCCCCTTGGCTATTAGCACCCAAATAAACTTGCTTCCCTGGTTTTGCTTGTCTCTGTGATTGGCTTTCTTCTGCGTAGTGAACAATGAGACCTCGACTGAACCCCTGGCCTTCTGTAACACCTGAACTTAGACTGCAGCAGCTGCAGAGCTTGCAATCCCCAGAGCCTTCTGGTTTCATGATACCATAGTTATGGCAAACAGAACCATCTCGCTCTGGCTGCGGCAGAGACTAGGCTGCAATCAGCCCCTTCCCTGTGGAGATCAAGTCCATTTGGCTCCAAGGAGACAGGTTAGAGTGAGCAGCAATGTCTTCACTATCCAACAGACCCTCTCCATTGCTACGCAGAAGTGGACTCTGTTTAAAATTACTCAGATTTCCTATAAAATACACTTGGGTCATTTCCCCAAGCAAAGCAGCTCTCCTACATGGTAAAAAACAAAAATCAAAATGGTAAAAACCTATCTCTCACCAAATCAAAACAAATCCTTGGAATTGCTGTTGCTAGTAATGTTAATAGCTCATAAATAAGGAATTGAACATAGGTATAGTAAAATTCTTTTCTGTGTGGTTGGAAAAGAACACATTCTAGATAATATTTTGTTAGAAGTTACGATAAATGCCTCGTGGAAATACCAGGTGGTCTCATAAAAGACAATTTTTTTTTTTTTAAGACAGAGTTTCACTCTTGTTGTCCAGGCTGGAGTGCAGTGGCGCAATCTTAGCTCATTGCAGCCTCGCCTCCTGGGTTCAAGCAATTCTCCTGCCTCAGCCTCCCAAGTAGCTGACATTAGAGGCATGTGCCACCACGCCTAGCTAATTTTGTATTAGTAGAGATGGGGTTTCTCCATGTTGGCTACGCTAGTCTTGAACTCCTGATCTTAGGTGATCCGCCTGCTTCGGCCTCCCAAAGTGCTGGGATTACAGGCGTAAGCCACCGCACCTGGCCCAAAAGACAATATTAATGAGATGCTGAGCGATACCTTATCATAAGTGAGTCGCAGTACATCCTTTCATTCAGTTATCTGAACACACTAATTCACATATCATGTGTGTCTCCTCTACGCAAGGTTAACGTCTGAAACCTGAGGGTTTGGTTGTTCGTCATATGGACACTGAGAGACAAGCAATGCCAAGCAACAGGTTCTTAGCAACAGAACAAAGAGTTCCAGCTTTTATGTACATATATAGTCCTCAGCATGATTAAACTCAACTTTGCTTTTAAGCTTTTAAAATGGGGTATACTGTGTAGAAAATTATTAAAATAGTTCAATTGATTTCCCACTAGACTTTTCTTCTTCCTAAGCAAATTCTATGTAGACTTGTTAAGATGTTGCAAAAGGAAAAATACTTTCCCACTTTGAAAGTGCAACTGGATGCTCTCCCCAAAGTAAAGTCAACCCACAATCCAAAAGGTGCAGGACAGAATGCTCACCATCTCTGTGATTTCAGCAATGTCCTCTCTGTGCTCCCAACAGGGAAACATATTGGTGAATGTCAGAGGCTCCAGACCAGCATGGATAAGGTAAGACTTAGGGGGCGGCTTCTTAAGATTTTTTCCTGTAGTTACACAGAATGCAATGTCAGTAGACCCTACTCTCTGTGATTTCCCTTGAAATTTTTTCTTCTTTGTTCAGAACTCATGACTTCATGCTTAAAATGCAGGTTATGAGTAGCTCATAACAACACATGGACGATGCTTATATAAGATGTTAATTTCATACCTGTGACTACAATAGTGACCTATAATCAACCTGAGCCTATACTGCTTGAACCTAACAAAACACTGTATTCCTGGACGGGAGAGAGAGGCTCTGTCTGCAGCTTCTGGGTGGAGCATTTTCTTCCTCCTGAACTCACCTGTAGAGGCATCCCTCTCACTTCCTACCACGGGATTAACTCCAATGTGACTGACAGCGAATGACAGCATCTTACACATCCACACTCACTATAACACTGGGTGGAAGGTCTCATATGTTATTTATTGCTAAAGAGATTTTCAGGAAGAGAATCAATTGCACATACTCAGTGATAGAAAACTAATTGTGTCAATGAAACCATAAAAATTCAGTAAGATATTAATTACTGGCATTTTAATTTAACATAAAAGACCAGAAATTTCATGTGTATAGTAAAGAACCATGAACTTACTATGGATATTTCTCTTTGGATGTAATACTCAAAAAAAATAATAATAATAAAAAGGTTGGCAATGGCCATCCGCCATTTGGGGGAGACTTCCATTCTCCACAGCATGGTAGTGCTTGCAAATAATGTACATGGCGGAGGCCAACTTGTCTCAGCGTGATCAATCCCGAGTACAACAGGGTTTGAATCTGGCCTGGGCTTTCTTTTTTTTTTTTTTTTTTGAAGAGCGTTGAGACGGAGTTTCGCTCTTGTTACCCAGGCTGGAGTGCAATGGCGCGATCTCGGCTCACCGCAACCTCCGCCTCCTAGGTTCAGGCAATTCTCCTGCCTCAGCCTCCTGAGTAGCTGGGATTACAGGCACACGCCACCATGCCCAGCTGAATTTTTGTATTTGTAGTAGAGACGGGGTTTCACCATGTTGACCAGGATGGTCTCGATCTCTTGACCTTGTGATCCACCCGCCTCGGCCTCCCAAAGTGCTGGGATTACAGGCGTGAGCCACCGCGCCCGGCCCTGCCCTGGGCTTTCTACAATACAGCCTTTATCCTTGAGGTAACACGTTAGATGGCCTCATGAGAGAGAAAAACTAGTTCCTCCTTGTGCTGGCAGCTGAGACTGCACTAGTCTAAAAGTTAATAAATCTCAAAAAGTTAAAAAGGGGAAAAAATGGGTTTCATTGCCACTTGCCAGGCTTTATAGATGCTGGCTGACATGCGCAGAAAGGGAAGGGGCTCCCCCATCTGCTCCCTGCTGCAGGCGCGTTAGAGGGAGCCTCACCTTTGCAATACTGGAGCACGGTCTCCATCGCGCTCTTCCGGTCGGAGGCCCAGCGGATGCGGGCAGAACCAGGGATCTTGTTCTCGATGGGCCACCAGCCTTGCCAGAGGTACACCTCGTGGTGATTGTCAACAAGGAAAAGTGCTGTGAGGGAGGGACAGAGCCCGACCATGAGGAGCTCCTTCGCGGACACTGGCAGCTCACTTATCCTAAACCTAGCGGATGCTGCCCCTCCCCGCTGCGGTGTCACGAGGGAAATCCCCTTGGCTTTCACCCCAGGGACGAAGGGGCAAACACAGGGTCCCACCCAGCCCTTTGAAAGTTCAACTGGGAGAAGCCTCTAGGCAGAGAGAGGTGGCGTCAAGGAGTTGGCCTCTTTCATTCCTTGTCCTCCAGGTCCTCCCATCTTTGCTCCAGCTCAAGCCCGTGTAAACCTTCTGGATGCAGGCAGGGCTGTGCTGAGAGTGGAAGGGACGATGCATGTGCCACTCAAGGGACTGTCAGCGCCATGCATCTCCAAAGAGCACAGTCAACACTGGCACGCACAGCTCACTGCAGAGAGGTCAGTGGCATTCCTGCCCTGTGTGTGATTGCTTAGCAGTGAGGCGAGCTTATGATTCTCTTACAGAGAAATGGGCCTAAAATCAAAACTGCCTCTGTGAGTGGTGGCTCATGCCTGTAATCCCAGTGCTTTGGGAGGCTGAGGCAGAAGGATTCCTTGAGCCCAGGAGTTGAAGACCAGCCTGGGCAACATGGCGAGACCCTATCTCTACAAAAATTAAAAAAAAAAATTAGCTTGGCATGGTGGTACAAGCATGTAGTCCCAGCTACTCAGGAGGCTAAGGAAGGAGGATCACTTGAGCCCAGGAGTTCGAGGATGCAGTGAGGCATGATTGCACCACTGTACTCCAGCCTGGATGATAGAGTGAGACCCTATCTCTTAAAAAAATAAATAAAAATTAAAATTGTTCTACTGTCTTTTCCTCCTCACTTTTTCTCCTCCTCAAATTGTCAGCCTGACTCTTACTGCACCTGCCAAAATGCCTCATTCTTGCTAGCTCGGCTCACCATGTGTCCTTTCCTGGCATGTGTTTCACGATTCAGGAACCATACTTTAAAAGCCCAGTGGAGGTTGATGACCTACCCTGAGCTCCAGGATGAAGGGTGTGGGCACAGCCTCTCTTTCTGGTCACTAAGATTTTCCAAGCATGGCATGGGCACAGGTCAAACTTCCAGTGGTACCCTGGGCACCCAGTGCGAGGTGAGGCCCCTGGCTGCAGCTCCAGGCTTTTGTAATTTGAGAAGCAACAAACACGCTGAGAGGCACCTGACCTTGGCTTCACTGGAGGGCTGTCTGGAGGGGCTGTCAAGTCCAGTCTCTTGTGACTTTCCCAACCAGAATGAGGGCACAAGGGTTACTGTCTTGAGGTGGTGGCCTGGTGGGAACAGCCCTGACCTTGGGATCAGAAGACCTGGGCTGGAGTCTTGGCTCTGCTGTGGAGCCTTGGTATGGTGGACCCTGTTCCTTGGCTAACTTAGCTGATACCCCAACACCCTTCTCCCCTGCCATTTGCTTTCCCAGGCTCCCTCGCAGCTGGGGTTGGCCATGTGACAAACTCTGGCCAATGGGACATATGCTGAAGTCTGCTGGGGGCTTCTGGGAAAACGTGCTTTATCTGATTAAAGACAGATGTGGCTATAAGTGCTCTTTCTTCCTTATGCCTTCTTTCTCTGTCTTGAATGCAAACATGATGGCTGGAGCAGTGGCAGTTGACCAGTGACCATGCAGCAACAAGACTGAGAGGAAGGCTGGGAGAAGAGCGGAGACGCCAGCTCTGCCACTGTGGCGCTCACCCTATTCTTAGCAGACATCTTTGGGTGGGTTAAGTAATTGAGCCTCGTTCCTTACGCTATAATGTGTGGCTGATTTCACCCTCCTTCCTTCTGGTGTAGAGTTGAGGATGAAATAGCATAAGCACATGATGTTCTGGGTGTTCTGGGAGTGCACGTGGCAAAGAGAAGCTGCTTAATGAATACCGATGTAAAATCAAAAGGCTTCCTGGAAGGTGTGCCTTCTGCTGCTCAGTACAGCTGCCTCCTGCAAGGCTTACCTGGTTGGGGCGCGCTGTACAGATCTTCCTGCAGGAAGGGCATGGAACTGACCACAGAGGGGGCTCGGGCGGGGTACACGAACTCAGTGGCTACGAAATCCCCAGAGGAGCTGCTGAGGATGAACAGGCGAGGTGCGAAGTTAAAACTTCCAGGATCTTTGAAAGAAAAGAGAACAAAGCTGAAGATACCATATGCAGCAAAGTAAATTCCAGATGAAGAATGAAAACATGAAATAATTACATGCACTGTGGAAACAGGTAGGATTTATCTGAGCTTCAAGGTGGAAAAGACCTTTTCAATTGCAATAGTAAAAGAACTGATCAAAAGGGAAATAATACATTAATTATATAAAAATACAACAATGCAAAATTAAAAAGAAAAACCAAGTCACAAATGGGAAATATTTATAATACAGCCACTAGTTAATATCCTTAACAGATGAAGGGACATACATAAGAAAAACATAAATCTCTCAATAAAATGTACAAAAGACAAATAGAACACTCACCAAAGTAGAAATTAAAATGGCTAAAAAATATATACATATGTAACATAAATATGCATGTTATAAATATGCATATATTTTATTTGTATATATTATACATTTATATACATATATATGTACTTCCAAGTAAAACAAAACAATGCTTAGCTATCTGTCTCATCAATTTGGCAAAGAGGAAAAAAGTAATATGCTGAATTTATGATTGTGCTGAGAAATGTACGCTTTTGTATATTGCAAGTGAGAATGCAACTTGGCCCGTGCTGACACATGCTATAAGACTTTCGTAACTAGCACGGCAGTTCCACATCTAGGAATTCCTCTCAATTAGGAATGAAAGTATACAATCATTTTAAAAAGTATTCAAACTGCATTATTTTATAAGGGAGAAAAATCAGAAACAAGAAACAGCTCAACTCCTCAGCTGCCAGAGACTGTCAAGTAGAGTGATGTATATTCACAGAGTAATCAGAATACCTTGCAGCCATTAGAAATCCACATTTTAATAACTCGGGAGATTATTCATAATAAAGGAAAAAAGCAGGTTACAAAACTGTAGGTCCACATTTTATTTTTAAAAACAGTTATTATATGCAGCATAGTCCTGAGGGATGTGATTAAGTGACTTCGTTTCTTTTTTTTAACTTCTCAATAATTTCAAACGTATCCTAGGCATTATGTTTAAAACACTATATGAAAGTTTATAAGTATTGAGGGGCAGAGTACTATGGAGTACTTAGGATACTCCATTGCTGTCCAGCCTTGGGCAAGCTGACTAACTTCTGTATGCCTTAGCTTCCTCATCTGTAAAAATGGCAGAGTGCTGGGTTGTACTACTGGAGTTGCTATGTGTAAGGTGCTGACTAGTGTCTGGCTTGTTGGAACTGCTTAACAAGTTCACTTTCCTTCTTATGTTCATCTGTATTTTGAGAACAGCTGGGAAAGCACACATATAACACCTAACCTCACTCCGGTGAACAGGAGTGTCTATTCTATACAGACACGGCCTGTATCCCCAAACAGGTTAATGACCAAAGGGCTCTGGAAAGGGGATAAGAGGCTGGCTTCCTTCCCCGGATCCCACTCCAGCACCCAGAGGACTGCGACTTCTCAGGTGGCAGCTATGAGGAAGGAAAGAAAAACGGTGCCTGAGTCACTAAGACCCTGGAAGTTGGCATGGTCCCCGGGAAGCTTTGGAAGCTGAATTGCCAGTGGGAATTTGAAGACTTGGTGTCCAAGTTAAACTCACCCCTGGGAAGAAAAAACCTGTTCGATCAGCTGGACATAGCACTTATCACACTAGATTTATGACAGGCTGAAGAATTAAGATAAAACATGAATGGGGCACAGTGGCTCATGCCTGAAGTGTCAGCACTTTGGGAGGCTGAGGTAGGCTGATCACTTGAGCCCAGGAGGTTGAAGCTGCAGTGAACTGTGTTTGTACCACTATACTCCAGCCTGGGCAACAGAGCAAGACTCTTGTTTCCAAAAACAAAAGAATTGGATCACAGGCTGTGGATGGCGCATTACCTTGAAGCATGCAATCATAGGCTTTCCTGTCTCTCCTTCCTAAGGCATCCCAGAATCCCAGGGGCTCGGAGCCTTCGTCACACTCGTGTATGGTCACTTTGCTGCTACTATGCAGTCCTGCTTCCAGGGGGCATCTGCAAGGGAGAAACTCCAAGAGTTCTTTGTAAGTCTGGAGAGTGTTGATGACACAGAATTATTATTACTATTACAATAACAGCTTTATAATAGCTTTCCTGAGATATAATTCACATGTCATAAAATTCACTCTTTTTATGTGTACAGATTTTAGTATACACAGAGTTGTGCAACTGTTATCACCAATTTCAGAACATTTTCATCCCCTGGAAAGAGAAGCCCTGTGCCCGTTAGCAGTCACTCCCATTCCCCTCCTTAGTCCTCAGAACAACTAGTCTGCTTCTGTATTGATGGATTTGCCTAGTTTGCACATTTCATACAGATGGAATTATATATGGTCCTTTGTGACTGCATTTTTTTACTTAGTATAATGTATTTAAGGTTCGTTCATGTTGTAGCATGTCTCAGTACTGAATTCTTTTTTATGGCAGAATAATAATATGCTATGATGCCACATTTTTTTAATCCACTAATGCACTGGTAGATATTTGGGTTATTTCTGCCTATTGGCCACTATAACTAATATTGCTATGAATCTTCATATACGAGTGTTTTCATTTCTCTTGGGTAGATACCTCGGAGTTGCTAGTCATATGGTAACTGTATGGTTAAATCTTCAGAGGAATTGCTACACTGTTTCCCAAAGTGGCTGTACTATTTTACAACCTCCGCAGTAACGTGTAAGGTTTCCAACTTCACATCCTTGCCAATACTTGTTATTGTCTGCCTTTTTAAAAATTTTAATATTTGTGGGTATATACTAGTAGTAGGTATATATATATTTATGGGGTACAGACACAAAATTATTCAAAACTAAATCTGGAGATCAGTTAACCGTCCCGTCTATTTTCTAAGGAAAAGCAATTCTTACAAATGAAAAAATATTCTGCAGTTGTGAGTGTGGTGGAGGAGAAGTTGACCCCTAGGGAGGGATGTATGATCACATCTAATATGTCATGAACATTATAGACATTTTTAGGCTGGGTGCAGTGGCTCACGCCTGTAATCCTAGCACTTTGGGAGGCCGAGGCCGGTGGATCACGAGGTCAGGAGTTCAAGACCAGCATGGCCAAGATGGTGAAACCCCGTCTCTGCTAAAAACTACCAAAAAATTAGCTGGGTGCGATGGCAGGGTCCTGTAATCCCAGCTATTTCGGGAGGCTGAGGCAGGAGAATTGCTTGAGCCCGAGAGGCGGAGGTTGCAGTGAGCCGAGATCGCGCCACTGCACTCCAGCCTGGGCAACAAGAGTGGGATTCCATCTCAAAAAAAAAAAAAAAAAAAAAAATAGAAATTATATGGATAAGACATATAGAAAACTTAAAAATGAATTAGAAAACTCCTCACAAGCTCCTATGTCCTTAAAAAATTAAGCCAGGTAAATCCTCAGACCGTGGTGGGACGGCCCCCAAGTCGGAGGGCTGGGCTGATTCGTGCATCCTCTCTGCTTGGAGCGTCAGAGGCCCCTGACCATGTTCCCAGCCATCCCTTGCTGCAGTCACTTTCAGCACCCCAGGATCTGCTGGGAATCTTGGAACCCCTGAGCCTGCCCCATCCCTCTGGGAAGCCCGATGTGTGGGGGCTCGCTGCAGACAAAACACTCACTGTTCCTTGATCTTGTTTGCAGCGGTCCTTCCAACCTCCTTTGTGTGGGCCTGGGCTTTGCATCCGTGCCACAGGTAGATGAGGGCCTTGTTGATGTTGAGCACTACCATGGAAGTCCTGGACCTCAGGCTGCTACAGTGACAGGCCACTTCCAGCAAATTCCCTTCCATCGGCACCTCTCCGCGCACGCAGTACAGCCGCCACTCACCTGCAGGGGGCACCAGCGGCGTGGAGGAATTATGATGTGAGCGAGTGGCAACAAACCAGCCCTTTCTGGTGCCTGCTGTGCCATCCACAGCCGCCACCTCTGTCCAGGGCCAGGGACTTAGGGGACTGGAGGGCTGAGGCCCTGCGCAGGGTGCCCTGCCAAGCACTGAGGCATCAGGACTTCCTGCCAGCCCAGAAAGTGGGTTCTTATGTAGTTAGAAGCAGGTGATCCGAAGTTCACAATATAGACAAAACATTTTTCCAAGGTTTACACAATAAGTTCTATAACAGACATATTTTAAAAGGCTCTAGAGCTAAAAAAATTTTTTTCGGATGCTGGCCAACAAAAATTTCATACTTTATAATAGAAGAGCCACTGATTTTTCTTCCTCCTAAAACAAGCAGACAGAGGAAGGGAAGTGACTTTCCAGCCTCCTTCATGCAAAGGTGAATCCCCGAGTAAATTCTCCAGGGAGAGGCGGGTCACCAGCGCCCAGGGCCGAGTTATCAGGAAAACATTAGGAGGCTTTCAGAGATAGAGCCACAGCTAGATGAAGACAGACTCACTTTCAGCCCCAGCTAATAAAAATTCCTTCCAAGAGAGGGAAAGACAAAGTCGAGTTCCAGCAGTAAAAATGACTTACTTTGCACATTTTCTTCTTCCTCTTCCCGCCTCCCAGAGTGCACCACCATTCCCCCTTGGAAACACTGTAGGAAACAGGGGGGCTCCTTTCCCTGGAGCACCTGGACCTTCAGATTTAAACAGGTAAATAGGTAAGGGGGATGGGGCTTTCAAAGTTCTAAAAACAATTCATGCCTCTCACAGAAAATCTGAAAAATACCAAGATGTACAAACAAAAGCCAGTCCCAACACTAGGGCCTAAAGAGAAGAGAAGCTTTGCGAACTGGGGTATGCAACCTCCTCTCAGGTGTTAGGGAGTTTTTGTTTTTCCTAAACAAAGTAGGAGCCTTACTTTATAAGGATGTATAGCCTCATTTTCTTTACTTAATGTTGTTCTATCATGGAATATTCTTTTAAAATATGACCCCTGATATTTTAATGGTATTCTGTGGTTACTGATGTAACAAGACTGATGGAAACACGTTCCTAACAAGATAGTTCTCAGTAATGAGAATGGCTCGTCACTGATTTAGTAATCATTCTGGGAAAAATGTGCAATTTGTGGTCAACCCAGCAGTCCACTCAGTCTCTCCCTTGGCTGTTAGGGAAGGCTCTTCCTTCAGATGTTATCTGTACCATGAATAAAGTTAGGGTTGAGTCAGCTCCCTGTAGGACACTTTTCCCTTAAAGAGGCAGTGTTTCCTGGAGTTGGTAGTCAGGGAGCGCTAAGAGGAAGCATTTCCCACTGTGAGTTAATATATCAATCTCAGCGCCCATTTGGTGTAACCAATCGCCATTTTGTGGCGGTATTTCATATCTAAAATGATTTTCCAGGGCTGGACCATGGCTCGTGCCTGTAGTGGTACATGCCTTACGTCCCAGCTACTCAGGAGGCTGAGGAAGGAAGACTGATTGAGCCTGGGAGGTCATGGTTGCAGTGAGTGGTGATGTTGCCACTGCACTCCAGCCTGGGTGACAGAGTGAGACCCTGTCTCAAAAAAAATACAAATAAAATGATTTTCCATCCACTGGATTGATAACAGATAAAATGCTCAAATGCAATAGATTAAGACTCAAAACTCTGAGGATGATTTTGAAGGCATGATAAAAGCATATTCATTCAGAGCCTTTACAAAAAAAAAAAAAGAGTAGTTGAAATGACTCACTATTAGGAATAAATTAAAATGCACATGTTGCCAATATCATTTCTAAAATATAGTCCATAGTAGGAAATTATTATTATTTTTGAGACAGAGTCTTGCTCTGTCGCCAGGCGCCAGGCTGGAGTGCAGTGGCGCTATCTCGGCGTACTGCAACCTCCGCCTCCTGAGTAGCTGGGTTCGGGCAATTCTCCTGCCTCAGCCTCGCGAGTAGCTGGGACTACAGGGTCACGCCACCATGCCCAGCTAATTTTTGTTTTCTTTAGTAGAGATGAGGTTTCACCATGTTGGCTAGGATGGTCTCGATCTCTTGACCTCATGATCCACCCGTCTCAGCCTCCCAAAGTGCTGGTATTACAGGCGTGAGCCACCATGCCTGGCCAGTAGGAAATATTTTTTAGGAAACGTGATTGGTTCTTAGGACTGCAAAGCTGGGTGAGGGTTGATCCATTTTTGGCGAAAATGTCTGTCTCTGCTGTCTTCCCTCCTGCTATTGTTATTCATCCAGGAGAATAAAGAGATTTACACATGGCATTTTCCTGTTTTCCAAGAGTCCCAGAGTTAACCTTTAATTGCTGGGACTCAGCAGAGTAACTCTTAATTGCTGGTACTAGTACTGAGCAGATGAGACTCAGGCAGAGATCATCCGAATGTTAAAGAGACGTGTTTACAGGCCTCGGATCTGGGCAGCAGTCCCTGCCAAGCAAGAGGCAGGCCCTGGGGTTATAAGGCCATGGGGTTGTAAGGCCAGGGCCACAGGGTCTCTGTCATGCTCCTGGGGATCATGTGCTTTAGGTGGCAGGAAGTGCTGTGAAAGTAAAGGGATCAAGCACAGGGACAGAGAATGATAAGAGAATGAGGAGGCTGTGGATAGAACTTGGGGCAGGGGTGCGGGTGACATGTGAGCAGAAAGCTGCCTCATCAGAGACTGAGAGCTACAGACTAGGCAAGGGAAGTTTCCAGACAGTGGGAATGGGACACAGAGCAGTAGGTGGGTGGAAGGAGCTAGTCGTGGAACAGGAAGAGGCTGGAGTGGCCTGGGTGGAGGGGAGGAGCAGGAGGAGATTGGAGAGGTGCCCGGGGCCCACCACGAAGGTGCTGAAGCTCTGGGAAGCCGCTTAGACTGCAGTGTGTGTGGCTGACAGCAAGCGAGTGACTCAATCCAACCTGTTCCAGAAAACCCACTCAGCTGCCGTGAATGCAGGTGAGGTAATGGGCATTCCCAATTCTTATATTCAGGTAGATTCATGTATGTGGAACAACTGATCAAAGTTTTAAGGTTCTCGTGCCAAAATTTCAGGATGGCTGTTCAAGTTCTCACTTCTCACTCCGAATACAGCATCCTTATCCCACAGGATCCTTGCCAGCCCTGTATCCGTTCTTTAAATCACTACCATTTCGAGAAGTGGGCGATGGCATCTCTTTGTTTTACATACAATGCCTTGATTGGTTAGGTGGAAACCTTTCAAGATCACCCATTGGCCATTTGCACTTGTCATGTGGATTTCCTGGTTGCAGGTACAACATTTTCTCTGGGATCATCTTACAAAAAGTGGGAGGAGGAAAGAAGTGGGAGGCACAGCCTGAAATCTGCAGAAGCCAGACCAGGGCTGAAGTGCTTTGGGTGACATGGTCTTCCATTATTAGAATCATGTTGGGAGGAACCAGGCTGAGCACCATCAGCTCCCAGGAGAGGACGCTCCTCTTGGTCCCTAGGGTGCAGAGCTCCCCAACACTTACCTGGGCCCCCCTTTCCTCATCCAGCTCCACCGTCATCAGCGCCGATGTGCCCTTCTCACTCACTGTCGAGTGCCGGCCTTGCCAGAAGAAGTAGACGCACTTCTCTTTGCCGGCCGCCCTCACCGAGTGCTCTCCTTTCTGGCGACTTCCCACTGCAAACACAGAACGGCAGAGGGACAGGTCAGCAGCTGAGATGCCCAAGGAGTAACTAATGTCCCTCTCACCTTCCCAGGGCCGGCGAGGACCAGCAGCAAAAAAGCCTCAGGCCTGGGGCTAGGGCCAAACCAGTGGCACTGGAGGGAAGGGTGGCCGCACCCAGGGGAAGAGAGAAACCACCTTCCTTCCAGCTCCTGACCCAGTCTCCAACGTGAAGAAAAAGGATCTGAGGGGCCTTCTGGTGCCCTGAGAAAACACCTGTCATCTGGAGGGGGCACACTCCAAGTGTGCAGCACAGCAATTTCCTCAAACGATTTGGTGAGGCCAGGTGAGTGTCACTCCTGTAATCCCAACACTCTGGGAGGACTGCTTGAGGCCAGGAGTTCAAGACCAGCCTGGGCAACATAGCAAAACCCCATCTCTAAAATAATTTAAAGAAATTAGCCTGGTGTGGTGTTGCACACCTGTAGCCCCAGCTACTTGGGAGACTGATGCAGAGGGATCACTTGAGCCCAGGAGTTTGAGACCGCAGTTAGCCATGATTGTGTCATTGCACTCCAGCCTGGGTGACAGAGTGAGACTCTCTTACAGATAAACAAACAAATAAATAAATAAAGCATTTGGGTATTTGGCGACTGCCAGAGCAGGACTAAGGGCTCACAAATGAGTTTTCCACATTACGCTACTTTTTGGCAAAAGATTAGCTGGTAGAGAAAAGATATTAAAAACAATAGCTGGACCAGCTTTAAGCACAAGCGGGTTAAAACTATTCTAGTAAAAAACACAACTTCGAAGTGTTCCAGGTCTGTCAGAAATGGGGGAGGATAGATAGGTTGCTAACATGTCAGTTTAGCATAAATGAATCTGGGATTTCATGTCTGTCACCAGGGCTGCTGCCAGGATTAAGAGCTGATGGTCCTCATGGCTGGCACCACACAGGCACTCAATAAACATGGGCAGCACACTGGGCAGATGAGACTGGTGTGGAGAGCAGTCATGGGGAGGTTACAGGGTCTCCCTCTGTCATCCAGGCTGGAGTGAAGTGGTACAATCATGGCTCACTGCAGCCTCAGCCTCCTAGGTTCAAGAGATCCTCCCACCTCAGCCTCCCGAATAACTGGAACTACAGGCATGCGTCACCCATGCCTGGCTAATTTTTATCTTTAACATTTTGTAGAGATAGGATCTCACTATGTTACCCAAGCTGGTCTCTAACTCCTGGTCTCAAGTGATTCTCCCACCTCAGCCTCCAAAAGTACTGGAATTATAGGCCAAATGGACATTTTAGATGTCATTGCAGACATCCAAATCTCTACCTGTAAGAATATGTATCACTCTAGATTCCCTTCATTCATTCACGCATTCAACAAATATTCACTGAGCCAGGACTTCCGGATTCTGGGCTACAATGATGAACGAGACAAACAACTTCGGTGCCTTTGTTCTAATAAAGAGATAAGCAAGACGATTTCAGATAGTGATAAGTGCAATGAGGACAGGAGAGAAGGACGTGATGCCAGGCAGGGTTGGGCTCACGGAACGGCTACTGAGGGAAGGCCTTTCTGAGGAGGTGGGGAGTGCAGACGCAAATAACGCTGATCTGGAAGCAGAAGCTTCTAGGCTGAGTGAGCTCAGCAGACCAAGCTCTTGACCCAAAGGCCTGGGTGTCCCAGGGAGTGGGGGTCAACACAGGAGAATGCAGTTGGTGGGAACACCCACACAGGTTAAAAAGGAATGAGAATAACTGGAGTCTCTGGATTTATATCACCGTAACTTTTCTCAGCTCCAATCCCATTTCCAACATTACAACTGTATTGAGATTTGAAGGAGCGAGCAGATCTCTTAGCCTTTGGAGTAATAGAACTGGGAACTTTAAAGAACAAAGTAAAGGCACTTGTAGTGCCCCTTCCTAAAATGCAAAAAGGGAAATAGTGTTTTATAAAACTCATTTAAGTTCTTCAAAGGTCAGGGTCATATTTATTTGATTTTTATCTCTTTGGTAAGGTATCTGTAACATAGGTTGCTTAAATGATTCGAATAGTTTTTTAAAAGTATTTTGACTAAACACAGCCTTTCGTACCATCCACTGTGGTCTAAACTGGTTAAGTTTGGGTGTTTTTGAGAGGGAAAAATAAAATAAGAACCATCAATGACTAGATTATAAATCCGACAATTAATTTGGAAGCCACTTAATTGAAATTTCTGCTTACCAAGCAACAAAACTTTGCCTTTGAATAGCAATCCCACTCTTCAAAAGTGAAAATTTGTTTCACGAAATAGATTACTGAGGAAAGATGTGTTTCAAATAGATCATAACAGCTTATAAAGACCTTGAAATTTGTAAGCACCCAAATACATTGTGTAAATACATATTCACACTTAAGTAATCAACATCACATCCTAACATTGTAAATTGACTTGTATATACCCAAAATATACCTCCTTTTAAAATTACTTCTATTTTAGAGACAGGGTCTTGCTCAGTTGCCCAGGCTGGAGTACAGTGGTATGACCATAGCTCACTGCACCTTTGAACTCCTGGGCTCAGGTGATCCTCCTGTCTCAGGCTCCCAGGTGCATGCCACCATGCTGGGCTCATTTTTGATTTTTTGTATAGACAGGGTCTCACTATGTTGCCTAGGTTAGACTCAAACACGTGCCCTTAAGCGATTTTCCCATCGCAGCTTCCCAAAACTCCGGGATTACAGATGTGAGTTTAGAATTTTATTTCTTTAAAGATATTTTATGAAGCAGACATTTCACTAGTTTTCCTGCACATATCCAAATTCAGTCCTGTATGCAACTTAATTTTTCATATGTGTATTCATTTTTAATTTCAGCAATGTAAAGATTCAATTTTTCGTGGTAAGGACTTATGGGCTATTCTCTTTACAACCTTGATTAGTTACCTAATTTAAAGTGTGGACGTGTTATGCCATCAAGGTACTTTCAAGAGCGAGTTTGGTGCCGGGAGGGCTAGTTAGGAGTAACAGAAAACAGAGGTGTAAAGACGGCTCATGGTTAAGTATTCTTGCACCAGAGCCACCTCTAAGTTGTAGGAATTAAGCCTCTGTCACGCCCTAGGGAAGCCTGGCTCAGCAACCCTGGGCACCAGGAGCATCTGTCTCCTGACCCTGCTGGGGTGCGAGCAACCCTGACCTGCAGGCACTGGGCCAGGATGCTGACTGGCAGGCTGGCTGGCATCGGCCAAGCGGAGGCTATACCATCTGCACACCTGCTGCTTTTTGCTGACCTTCTCCCAGAAGTGCTCCCTGAGCTCTGACTCAGTCTTGTTTGCAGGTGTGGCCCTTGTGGGCGCAAGTGATGGAGGAGCCAGACTAGCATCACCAAAGGCCAGAGCTTCCGCATTGGCTATGGAGTGACCGCAAGTGCTGTCGGCCTGTGCTTCCCAGCTGCTGGAGGGACGGTCTGGAATCTGAATGCTCCCTGCTCTATCCTAATTCTCTAAAGCTGGACTTTTTAAAGTTGTAAGTCTTCTGGAAAGATACCATTGGAGCTGGCTGTGAGATGTCCATTGTGTTTATTGGGAAGAAATATAGAAAGGAATCGCCTTAGTCAAATCATATTTCCTAAGGGCCTCCAAGTCAGTAGTCCATGAAAGTCTTTGAACTCTTAGCTTTATTTTTAATTAATTCACGTTAACAGTTTTACTCATTCATCTGTTCACTGTTACTTTGTTTTTTTCCATCATAACTAACAGCTAAGGTAAGAAAATGTCTGGTTTTATAAACACGATTTCCCTTTTTGCATTTTAGGAAGGGGCACTACAAGTGCGTTTAGTTTGTTCTTTAAAGTTCCCAGTTCCATTACTCCGCAGGCTAAGAGATCTGCCCGCCCCGAAACACACTCAATTCCCTATTACCATCATCACTGGTAACCAGCATCAGAGATTACTTATCACTGCACGTGCCACCTCTGCATGAGAGCAAGAGCGTAAATCCATGACAGTGACTCTTTGGAAATTGCCATTATTTTGGGGAAATCCACGTTATCTCACTTTCAAGTTAAAACAGTAATTATGCTGTTCCTGCTGACAGTGTCAGTGATGAGTCTTTCCTGCACCTGCATTGTGAACACAGGCCAAGCACCTGCTCAACATCATATATGCTGATTATAAAGTCCTGTGAGCTGAGTATTATAATCCCTCCTTTCCAGGTGAGAAAACCAAGGCTCAAACGGGGTAACTTTACTCAACCCACATAGCTGGTAAGGGCCTGAGATTCTGAATCCCAGGCTATAGGGTCCCAGTGCCTGTTATCTTCCCTCAGGGGACATGCCTCTTTATGAAAAAGGAAAGGAGCAGTTCCAATTCCTTGCTCTTAAGAAATTAAGTACATGAGAAATGCTGCTCCCCTTGGGAGGCTGAAGTGGGAGGATGGTTTCAGCCCAGCCTGGGCAACATAGTGAGACCCTATCTCTACAAAAAAATTTAAAAAGCCTGATACGGTGGCATGTGCCTGTAGTCCTAGCTACTTGGGAGGCTGAAGCACAAGGATCACTTGAGCCTGAGAGGTTAGGGCTGAAGTGAGCCAAGATTCTGCCATCGCACTCTAGCCTGGGAGACAGAGTAAGACCCATCACACACGCACACACAAAAGAACAAAAGGAAAGAAAAAGTCCCTCTCAATGGGGTTCCTTGTCCGCCACTCCACTACTCCCTGGAAGAAGAGACAGGAGCTGCCTGGGCCCTGGAAGATCCCATTCCTGCTGTTTAAGGAGCCCCTGGAGTTTGGTGTGCTCAGTAGCCAGCCTCAAGTCGCCTTGCTGCTGGTTCAACCCTGACCTGCTCCCTGATCTGGTGACTGGGTTCTTCGGCCCCTCCTTGTAGCCAAACTCACGGCTCCCCACATCCTGTGCTGGAGCCCCCCTCTGACTTCCTGCCCACCAAGCGGGTTAACAGCACGTTGGGTTTGGAAAGAGGGCGCCTGGATGTGAGTGTCCAGCTCAGCTCTCTGCTAGCTGTGTGGCTTCAGGCAGGCTCCTTGATCTTACTGTCCTGGTCCTCATCTGAGAAATTAACATCACAACAAAACAAGTCTCAGGGAGCCTGGGAGGCCCTCAGCTAGAGGCAAGTAAAGACCCAGCGTCGTGTCCCAGGGGGCGGGGGAAACCTCTGGGCCACAACCGGGCTCTGCACAGCACACAACCCCAGCACACAACCCCACCGCCCAGTGCCCAGCAAGGTTGCCTGCTGGCTGTTCCTGCATTTGCTCTACGTCATTGATACCACGTGCATCTTGGAGACAGGACCTGAAATATTTACTTGGTCTCTACAAAAAGTGTCTCCCATAGAGTAGGTGCTCCGGAAATGCCAGCTGATGCACAGATGCATCTTGTGTCAATCAGGAAAGAAATCACGTGGTTCTGCGCCTGCAGGTATCTGATCAGCCTGTGCCTACCGTGGCCCCGGGGCGGGCGCACCTGCACAGCAAAGGGGCTGTAAAGAGGCCAAGAGACTTCTGAGTTGACATCACAGAGCTGTGACCTGCATGCTGTCCTAAGTGGGAGGGGTGAGGAGCGCTGCAGGAAGGCTCCTCCTTTGGCAAGGACATGGATGGTTTCTCCAGAGTTCACCTGACTCCCCGGTCCCCAGCTTCAAGCATCCAAGTGAGTGTTTTGCAATTGGGCACATCACCAACAGGAACCCAGGAGAGTTTAGACTCTGCATTTACTAAACCAGACCCACAAAGGCCAGCAAGCGCTCAGCCTTGGGAGAAACAGCCTCTTACTTTTCAAATCAACCTTGTGTGCGTGTATTTACTATAATGTTACAGCACCATTTGGTTCCAGCTTTAAATCACAAAGATATTCTCTACTTAACGACTTTAATTGAAGCAGCACACAGGCACATGAGAAATATCACTCAGAGGCCAATCATCGCTTTCCCAGAACAGCTCTGGGGACAGGGACAGGAAGGGAGAGAGGGAGCCAGGAAGCCTTGACGTGCAAGTCAATTTCTACAGGTGAACATCAGCGGCCTCGGCAAGGCTAGGCTGTTAGGGATTCGGCCTGACTTCTTTTCCCCCTCTGTGGTTTACTAAGTGGCTCTCAAGGACGCATGACTGGAGTGCCCCACTGCACGCGTGCACACAGCAGAGGGCACACAGGGTGTGCTGGGGAAGCTGGCTCCCGCAGGGCTGCCAGCCAGCCTCTTTCAACTGGAAGAAACCACGAGCGCTCACTAACCTGCCGTGCTCACCATGAACTTCCACTTGACCACATAGGCATCCCCCTCGTGGAACTGCCCGATGCTCTGTTTGGGGAGCCTGCTATAGTCGAATTCCAGGATGTGCCAGACATCCACGGAGACACTGGTGATCTCAAACTGCCTCCTGTCGTGCCCTTCCACCAGGCCATAGCCACGACCGACGTTCACCCCGTCCAGAATGGTGCCCACTGTCGTCTGGGGCATGGACACCATCCGCGTCACGTCGTACGGCTTGATGTCGGCCCTGGGGTCTTCCTACAGGGGAACATGGAGGTTGCCTGTTTCCACAGCCATTCCTTGTCATACTCAACGCTGCTTCAACTGTTCATGGGACAACATAAAAATACAGCTTCCACACTCTGTCCCAGGATGTTTAACTGCAGTGTGGGAAAGGCTGCATTTCCAGGAAGACTGGAAGGTCTGAACACCCATCGCCACAACAGCACATGGATGCCCGAGAACAGGTGCAAACCAGACTCTTCACCTCCCGGAGTCGGGTTAGAACTGGAGGCCAGTCTGCTGTTCTCGTGAGTCCAGAGAAGGCTTCCCAGCTTTAAGGGTGTGTGTGTTTATGTTGATTAAAAAAGTATTTTAGTTGACACATTTTTATGTGTACAATTTGATATGCTGATACAGGCATCTGTTTTATGGGGAGGGGGTGAGGGAAGGAGGGAGCAGAGGGAGGGTTGGGAGATGTTGGCCAACGGCACAAAGTGACAATCAGAGCGAGGAACGAGCTGCTTTTCTACGGCACGAAAGGCAACTGTCCCCAACACTGTATTGCATATTTCAGAACAGCTAGAAGAGAGGATTTGAATGTTCTCACCACAAAGAAATGATAAATCTGAGGTGATGGCCACGCGAACTACATGATTTGATCATTTTACATCAAGGCCACTTTTGCTGGGACCCGAACCAAGCCCCGAGGTTGAGACCTGGTCGCTGGGATACCTTGTGCTGGGCAAGCTCCCCAGGGTTCTTCTCATGCGGTCGCTTCAGTTCCGTCCAATCCAGAAACTTCTCTTTGAACAAAATCGTCTCATTGTGTTCAGTAAGTCTCCCAAATATCGCCCACTCGGGCCGCCCCTGTCCTTTTCTGCAGGGTGGGGGTTGGGGGGTTGGGAGAATAAACAGGAAAAGAACCAAGATTAAGCCAAGTTAAACAAAGGAATCTAAAACACAGCGGCTACTGGAGAAAACCTCAAAGCACATAAGCGGTATATAGAACAAATGGTTTATTTTCCTGCATTTTACCAAATAATGATATTTTGTTATTTTAGTCTGAAGTTCTGCAAACCTTCGCATCCATGGAGTTTTTGATGTGCCTGAATGTGACATGAACCATGTCAGGACTAGGCTTTTCTTACATTCTAGCAAGTTCTTTTTTTTTTTTTTTTTTTTTTTTTTGAGATAAGATCTTGCTCTGTCACCCAGGCTGAAGTGCCGTCGCACAATCATAGATCACTGCAGCCTCAAACTCCTGGGCTGGAGTGACCCTCCTGCCTCAGCCTCTGGAAATGCTGGAACTGCAGTTATGTGCCACCACGCCTGGCTAATATTTTAATAGAGATCAGGTCTCACTACGTTGCTCAGGCTGTCTTGTACTTCTGGCTTCAAGCAGTCCTCCCACCTCAGCCTCCCAAAGTGCTGGGACTACAGGCGTGGGCTCCTGTATCTGGCCACATTCTAGCAAATTCTTGTCCTTAGGATACTCTGGGGTGGCATGCTGGGTGGGGATTTCAGCAATGGCAGGAGCTGTAGGCAAACCTTACTCATCATCTGATCTATGCCACCCAGTCACCTGCAGACACTCACCAAGTTTCCCTTCAATTAATTAGCAGATGTAGGGAACAGGCAGCTCCCCTCCCCCAATTCTCTACTATTTTATGTCATGTTTCAGCTAAGCTCTCCAGAGTACAGAGATCTCCTGTCACTAAAACGGACACACTCATAGATCACGAAGTGTGTTTCTGCACACTTATTTCTAGGTCACTGGCCAGGGCAGCAGCTGGGGGGAGCACAGAGAGACAGGAAAGACAACAGCACAGCCCCACCTGGAGCTCTTGTGCGGGCTTGGGATTTCAGATTCTGTGCTGTGCCCAAGAACACAGGTAATTTAGAAAAAGGTAGATCTGACGGCCGTAATCCCAGAACTCTGGGAGGCCGAGGCGGGCAGATCACCTGAGGTTAGGAGTTCAAGACCATCCCGGCCAACATAGTGGAATCCTTTAATTTCTAATCTATTATAATGACACATATAGTTAAAAAGCACTACTTTTTTGGTCTGATAGTTAAAAAAACAACAGTGCTTTGCCTGTAAGAATTCTTTGTTTCATAATCATAATTTTAGAGTTTTCGCATATTCTATTGAATTGCCAAAATGACTTTAAAGAGTCCAGTACATGTGGGAAATATTAAAATCACAGTCATTATTTTAATGCCATCTCCTCCCCATCTTCCCTTCCCAAAAGGGGTAAAGTCATCAACATCATCTGCTGCCAAGTAAATCCTGGAATTCCAGGGCGATGCTGGGAAGGTGTGAATTAGAAGCAGCATGTTGCTTCTGCACCTTCACATCGGTGGCTGAATTCCAGATCTGGTGAAGCCTTTCAGATCCGCATGTGATTTGTTTAAACAATTGCTGTTCATCTGCCACAGCAGCACCTGGAGTGCCGCAGGTGGGAACTTGCAGCATTGCCTGCTCACTTCAAAAAATCAACTATCACATAAACCTCTTCCAGAAGACTACAGCATCCATATTTCTGCAGTAGTTGGATAAAAGTAAAAGAAGTGTTCCTTCTGTGAATATTCACGGTCCACTGCATATAATGGTTTATGAAAAGTGAACCCTATAAAGAGCTAGAGTAGAGGACTGCGGTGAGAACAGAGGATCGAATGGAATCTGCCATCCTGGGCGGTGGCAGGGGTACCTGGGGATCAGCGGATTGCATTCTCCAGGATCCAGCGGATTGATGTCACAGTTCTCATAGTCAAACGTTCCATTCCATAAGTGCTTTGCCAGCTGAAATGCTGTTTTTCGTTGTGCTAACGTGACTTCTTTCCCATGCCACACGGACACTTCACTACCAAAATCAAACACCAGTAGCTGGGAGAAATGGCACAAAAGAATTTGTTAACTTCAAGAATGTGCAACAGTTGAATCAGGGTCTCTGTTGACAGCGAGTCAAACGCAGGAAGACAGAAATCCTAAGGGGGCGACCGGTACAGACACAAAAAGGCCATGAGATCTCAGCTGGTACTGCCCCACCAAGCCAGCCTCTGCCCCGGGGGTGTGATTCCTCCTCCCAGTGTCCTAAGTGGCCGAGATAATGTTCCCTCCTCTTGTGATCCACAAGAGTTGTGTAAGCATGTCTTCGTAAGTTCTTTCCTTCCTCCCCCTCTCCCGTTCCTCCCTCTCTCATGTGCTCACTCATCCACTTAATATGTACACAAAGGCTCCTTCACACACCAGGCACTGAGGGTCCAATGATATCTTCTCTCCTGTACACAATTCCAAGATCCTTAAGGGCAGGGATCAGATCATAGCAATACACACAGGAGGGACTGATTACTAAGTGTTTGCTGAATGAACACCTGAACATAGTGCTATTTCTATTTTCATGGTTCCTTTTATTCTTTCTCTTAGAATGATTTTTCCCTTCATTTCCAGCAATTCAAATTTTGCTTAACTCTAAACTCGGCTCAGTTTCACTTTCTATGTAAAATTATTCCTGAAGATTTCTTTTTCTGTGACTTTTTTCCTAGGTAAACACCAATACATATCACACAGCCACCCTTGCTCCAGATGACATTCCTCCTAACGCTCTTCCGCCCAGTTACACTGAAGGGCCTTGTGTGTCTTCCACCTTCTCGACACTTAGCAGACTTAATGGGACTGGAAATGTATGTGATTAACCAGTATTTACTGGCGTGACAGGACAAAAGCAGCACCTTAATTGGCAAATCCACAAATTATACATACATGCATCTATTATTCCTCAAACTAAGGACTGAAAAATTATTTTATTATAATGTTCATGCAAAGTGCAAGAGACAGGGCTAAGTAATATTTACATTTTGCTTAAGACATAAAAGTCCTCAATGGTCCATGCTGTCTGAACAATATTCTGGATTCCATATTAGCATTTAAGATTTCAGTGATGGGTTGAAATCACAAATATCCTTTAAAAAGCTGTAAATGATCTACAATGAGTACTGACACTGGCTAACCTTATTGGAAACTTGCTATCTAATTTACTGGGCAGCCTGTGCCGAGTGCTTTTGATGTGCTTTGTCATTGAAGGGCAGAGCCCACGGACTGTACCTCTTTGGGCTGCAGAAGGGAACACTTCGGAATTTTCCCCCAGTAGTCGTCATCAGGCACAAGTTTGTCATCCATGAGGCGGTAAATGCAGTTAGTTTCTATTATGGCTGCTTCATAGAGTTCATCTTCTTTTGGGTCTCCAGCAGCTTAGGGATAAGAACAACAGGAGAGCATCACATTTTCCATTGCAAAGTAGCTGGTTTAGAATGAGTTAAGGGAGGAGAAAGGAGATTCACGTCTTGTCAATCTCTGAAGTACAATAAAGTCTTACACTGGTAACTGGTTTGGCCGCCCAGAAGCTTCCAGAAGTCTTTGGCTGCATGAGTGTGTGTATTAATTCCTTCTTCAATGGTTTGGATATAAGTAGCTCTACAACCAAGTTCCCTCTTTGTCTGAATTAAAGCTGCAAGTTCTGAAGCCTAAAAAAAGAGAGGAACGCATGACCTGGTAGAAAAGCGCTGGCTAGACAGAGTGGCACATGTCAAAACCAGAGAGGAGAAACAGAGTGTGCCTGAAAGGAGAGCCTCGTGACCACGGGGGTGGGTGGATGCTGGTTACTGGGTATTTTCAATGACCTCAAGAAAATGTAACTGAAAGACCAGGGAGCTTCAATTCTTTAGAGCAATAGTTCTCCATCTTCAATAGGTCACATGTGACGTTTTTAAGAAGCACTCATTCTTTGGGCTTTACCCCATGACATTCTCATTTAATAGGTCTATGGAGGAACTTCAGAGCGACCTGAGATAAAGGACTTCAAAGTGGGGCCAGTTCCTTTTCTTACACAGGAGTAAGAAGGAACCCAGGACCTAAACGCTGGTGGTGTAGGTCATGGTCCTAAAACATCCCACTCAAACATGTAATGAAAGCTTGTTTGAGAGACATTCAGGAAAAGAAATACCACCTATCCCTTCTCACTTGAACGCAACACCTGGCATTTGAGAAGCTTTGTGACCGACATCAGGAAGAACCCTCTACCAGTGTGTAAAGGGGACATTTGCTACAGCATTTTTAGTTTCCAGATACCAACCTTCGCCTTTTCTATGACGTTTGCAAACTCTCCTACCCACAGGAAGCAGCAGTGGGGAGAGAGCAGGAGGAAGCAGTCCCCGCTGTTGAGCGCTGAGGCCTGAGGCTCCACCAGCCTGGTCTGCACGTGTCTTCTTCCTCAACACGAGGCAAACAGTCACTGTCTTCCCAGACAGAACGGGGAGGTCACTGTCTTCCCAGACAGAACGGGGACAGGACGCACCCCACATCAGAGGCCTCCCTGCTGCGGACGCTTTCACTTCTAAAGAACTCATTTGCTAATAAGAGTTCCCATGGCCCAGGATGGCAGTAGGAGGATTTAGAAAGGGCATCATGACAGCACTAGTGACCCCTTCCCTGGTTCCCGCTTTCCCAAATGTCACCCGCTTCTCAGGACCATTATTAGTGTTATATGTGTGGGTCCACTGAGGCTCCCCCTTCCAGGGAAATGAGCACAGGGGCTCCTTTTCCCGTCCTTCACTCCTCGCCTGGGGCCTTTCTCTCCCCTGGCCACACCCTGCACACACTTACATCTGTGGCCTCAGCAAGGGACGCCATGCCTTCAGGAAGGGTCTGATCTTCCCCTGGGGAGTTTCCACTGTGAACCCTAGGGGCCTCTCCACTGGAAGGAGGGAGGCATGGCCTTCTGTGGCTTTCAACACCTTCTCCAAAGTATTTGTTGATTTTGAGCTTTCCACAATTACACTGACCATGTGGTCTCTGGGTTAGGACTCAGGACAGAGATCGTTTATTTGAGCTTGCCACTAATTTTTTTTTTTTTTTTGAATACGCAATAGGACAGCGGTCCTGCAGAAACACGTGGGAAACCCTCCTGGAGGGAGGTATTTCCTCCACCCTCCTTTCGAGGATTCATCTACACAGTGGCCACCAGGGGGCAGCCGAGTCTCCTTCCTCATGGCCAGCGCCCCCCTGGTTTGTCTTTGAAATCTCCCCTGCCATGGACAGGAGGGCACTGGAGTGGAATGCAGGGGGGCTGCATCTGTTCAACCTTCCCTTGATTCCTTCTCCAAGCTGTGTCCTCCTCCTCCCTGGTTCTGTACTGACTCGGGGAGAACGGGGTAGGGAGCCGGGAGCCCCTCTGATGACGCGGGGCACCTCTGGTAACTGCATGAAAGTGTAGCTGCCTTGTGGGGCGCGGGGCATCAGGAGCAAAAGCCGGGATTCTGGAGTTGGGGACATGGGTTCGAATCCAGCTCTGCCACCCAGCAGCTGCTGGGACCCCAGACACATTCCTGCCTCTGGAAGCCCTGGTGGGCAGAATACTTCCTACCTCATGGAATCTGGGGAAGCTCAAGAGACAGGAGGTTGCATAGCAAGGAACACACAGTAGGTTCTCAAAAAACGTAGGTTCCTTTCCCTGCACAGGTGATGAATGAATCAGGACTCCTCGGGTGACCACACAGAAACCACGGGCCCTGAGTCACTGGGCCCAGCTGCCCTGAAATACCTTTAATCTGCAGCAGCATCAGCCTCTTGTAGGGCACGGCGCTGTTGTTAGAGTTCTGTTCCGTCAGGTTCACGCTCCGCAGGCTGACGCTGCTGAAGTTTTCTTTACTGGCTAAACCCGCCAGGGTGACTTCTGAGAAGGTGGAGTTGGAAGACACTGGGCCGGCTGAAGAAGGAAACACAACGCAGAAGGTCCAGTTACAGCGACAATATTTACTGTCAGAAATCATTCACAACCGACCCAGCACCTTTGTCTTTTCAAGTTAGTCCCGAGAGGGAAACATATTCAAGTTCGATCAAATGTGCAATTCAATGCTTAACCACCGTGCTGGGAACTAAACACAGCATCGAGAATATAAACGCTTGTTGGTAAGTGTCACACCTCACTGTGCAGAGGGACGAGAACTGAGACGACGCGGACCAGCCGCTCTAGCACAAAGCCAGGAGCTGGATGCACTTGCTGCAGTTCCACTGAAAGCTGTTCTAAATCCTAACAACTTTTACATGCTGGAATGTATAGATGCTGGTGACTGTTAGACATCTGTCACCAAAAGCCTTTATACATAAAGAGAAAAAAAGCAGACACTCTGTAAGGGATGATTAGGTTCTAATCTTTTCCTAAAGGCAAAGTAATCAGTCAGATGATATCTTGAGGTCTTCTGCTCTGAGAGTTACTATCGTAATTATAAGATGGGTTTTCAGTGCAAAACAACAAACATCTATGGGTCAGTCAGTCATCACCAATTTAACCCCTGAGGTCCCAAAAGTGGAGGCAGAGGAAACATATGTACAATCCATGCCAGCCAGGCGCGATGGCTCACGCCTGTAATCCCAGTACTTTGGGAGGCTGAGGCGGGCGAATAACAAGGTCAGGAGATCAAGACCATCCTGACCAACATGGTGAAACCCGTCTCTACTAAAAATACAAAAAATTAGCTGGGTATGTAGTCCCAGCTACTTGGGAGGCTGAGACACGGGAATCACTTGAACCCAGGAGGCAGAGGTTGCAGTGAGCCAAGATTGCGCCACTGCACATCAGCCTGGGTGGCAGAACAAGATGCCATCTCAAAAAAAAAAAAAAAACTGTGCCAACAAACCTTCATTTCTCCAACTTACTGTTTTAAAAAATGTATATGTAGCCAGGAACGGTAGCTCATGCCTGTAATCCCAGCACTTTGGGAGGCAGAGGCAGGCAGATACAAGGTCAGACGTTCGAGACCAGCCTGGCCAACATGGTGAAACCCTGTCTGTACTAAAAACACAAAAAAATTAGCTGGGCATGATGACATGTGCCTGTAATCCCAGCTACTCAGGAGGCTGTGGCAGGAGAATCGCTTGAACCTGGGAGGCAGAGGTTGCAGTGAGCGCAGATCACACCACTGCACTCCAGCCTAGGTGACAGAGCAAGACTCCCTTCCAAAATAAATAAATTCAAAAAAATGTATATGTTGGAGACAAATTCGGAAGTTTATTTCAGTGGGATTAGGTTTGAAGAAATAGAATACTACTTGTCAATGCTGTGATTTTGATATACACTTTTTTTTTTTTTTGAGAAAGGGTGTGGCTCTGTAGTCCAGACTGGAGTGCAGTGGTACAATCAGGGCTCACTGCCACCTTGACCTCCCGGGTTCAAGCCATCCTCCCACCTCAGCCTCCTGAATAGCTGGGACCACAGGTGAGTGCCACCACACCTGGCTAATTTTTGTATTTTTTGTAGAGATAAAGCCTTGCCATGTTTCCTAGGCGTGTCTCAGACTCCTGGGCTCAAGTGATCCTCCTACCTCTGCCTTCTGCAGTGCTGAGAGTATAGGCATGAGCAACCATGCACAGGCTGAAATATACTTTCTCAGTAAACCAGTTATAATGAAAAGACTCAACCACTTCAGCTAAACAGTATATTTCTAAGACAAACATTAGGAAACTGGTTTATGAGTGTTATGGGAAAATGAAAATTACAGCAAGATTATCTCAAAAATCAAGATTATGCATATGGTCACCTCAAACCAAGAAAACCACTGTTTCAGAATGATGGAACCCCACATTACTGGGCAGATCAGAGCAGCATGGCTCAGCCTATGCTGAGGGTGAATCTGGAGTCCACCTATTCGCCTCCATCCACCGCCCCCAGGCAGCTCCCTCCAGCTCACATCCCAACTCTGAGAAGTTAAGGTTCCTACCAAGTACAATTTGAAAAGCACTGGTTATGTGTTAATGAATAATATAAAAATCTAGGATTAGAAACACCAGTGATTTGAGCCATTTTACTATAAGAGATCAAATGACTTGCTCTTGAATAAGATTAAATGAAGAATGACTGTTCAGGATCTACAGAGCTGAAAATGGCTGAATTAACATACTCAGAAATAGCCATCTCTTCTCACTTCCAGAAAAAAAACCAATAAAACAGGAAATTTTGTAATCAGGCGCAGTGGCTCCTGCCTGTAATCCCAACACTTTGGGAGATCAAGATGGGAAGATTGTTTAAGGCCAATAGTTTGGGATGAGCCTGGGCAATATAATGAGATCCCAGTCTCTTAAAAACAACCCCAAAAAAAGAAAACCCTAGGATAATTTGAATTAACCAACTGAACAGGGGATACACTCTGGGAGAATTTCCATGAGAAATCCCTCAGTTCTAGGTAAGCGTGCACACAAGTGTTCATATTTACTCCTTTTTACTTCACGAGGGTTTCTGAGCACCATTATTGGCCTTCACAGGCAGAAAACCAAGACATGATCAAAGCAATGGAAGAAGCCATTCCCAAGCACGGGAGCAGGCAGGGATTTCAGATACTCACTCTTTTCTACTTTCATCCGCTTTGACTCCATGAAGGCAACGTTTAGTCTCTGCTCAGTGTATTCCTGAAGGAGATCTTCTCTGGCCGCCAGCATTTTCAGGGGGTTTTTGGAGGCCTGAACCCGGCGCTTGGGCCTGACTGCCCGCTTGTGCTCGGCCACAGAAGACGTCAATCTGCGGATGGAAGCAGAGCGCGGTCCCAGTCTGCGACACCCCCACGCCTGGTGACCTGCAGGTCTTGGTCTCCACAGTGTATTTCCTGATTTTGTTACAAATCTTGCAACTCCTCCCCCCACTGCAACTCCCCTGAGGTGGACTTGTAGAATCTTGGAGAAGGAAGAGGGATGCAAGCACACTGAGTTCAAACCCCAGTCACGCCCGGATGCCCCCACTCACTCATGCCCCTTGTTCTGCCTGGAAGGGTGTGGAGTACTTCCGGGCAGCTCGAGGCTCTGCTAGACAGCTCTGGGGGTCCGGGAGCTCCTGCCTCTCCTCACCGCACCCGTGCACACATCCTCATTTTCGCTTTGGAATCACACTCCCATGTCTACTTGTCTGTCTCTGGCAAGCCCTTCAGGAACTTGCAGACCACGGCTCCTTGATGTGATCCTCTCTGCTCAGACTAAACCTTCTCCCATGCCATAGCTTTCGGTCCCCTTGCTGTCCCTCCATGACTAGCTTCCACACAACTCACTGCCCCCTCTGAAAAATAACCACTCTTTGGAAGAATATATTGAAATAAAACAGGCCCGCCACCATCTGTGACCACCCCACGTTCTCACAACTCTCTGGGGTGGAAAACCAGACTGGGCGAGGTGAGCAGACCGAGCTAAGTGATCTCCCGACAGGCCCCTGCTGCCACTGTCCACCTCCGACTGCACGGGTCTCTGTGCCCGAAAGGCCTCTTTACGTACCATGGTGTCACATGTGTGTAAATATACATATAAATTTAAATTATGACATACACCAGTTTAAACAGTGACATTGAGAAATGGTTAAATAGCTAGGTGTGCAAATACCCAAAATACTATTTTCAGGTGGCAAATAGCAAAAGCTTTATTTTTTATGGTAGGAAATTAAAACACGCAAACTGAAATATACAAAGAATGTATCAGGAGCAGCTTGTAGAAATGGTATGATCTGTCACTCTGAGAATTTCGCAGGAAAGACCAGATAGATGTAGTGGACTGCCGTGGGTGTGGCCTGTCTAGCATGCCCTCCTCTGCTTCTCCTAATAACATCTGGATTTTCCTTTGTGGAAACTCTCTGTGTCCCCACTGTGGCTCTGGAGGGAACTCGGAGACCCACCTTTAGCCAATCAGCATCTTCTATCCCACTGGCCACAGTGACTGGTTTAGGGTTGGACTCGGGCTCACGTTGAAGCCAAGAAAATCAAACCTGGACCTTCTGCTGGGACTACTGGGAAGAGAAGCTACCTGTGCCGGGCTGGCCAAGGAGGCAGCCTTGTGACTCCACAGCTGGGGTGTCCATCTGCCGCCAGGCCACTGCCTGACGGAGAGGGAGGCCAGCCCAAAGGAAAACAGCCAAGACAGACTGTTCTGACGGGCTCTAGAACCCGAGCTCACACCTGCACTTTTCGGCGAGTGAGCCAGTAAACCCCTGCGCACTTTTCTTTTTAGCTGAAGTCGGTTTGAGTTGGGATCTTTTTCCTGGCACTTGAAATTGAAGGAATCCTAACACCATAATCAGTTTTCCTGGTTGGTTTAGTCATTTCCTGCGGGAAAAGCAACCCTAAGTCATCACGGAGAAAACCTTCAGAGCTATTGATTTCGTATATGATTAGAAGCTAAGTAACATGCTTACTGATTTTCTAGTTAGCTGTACTAATTTGAGCCCATCTCATCCAAATATTTTTGCAAAGTTATGAGTAAGAATTCAATATGTTAAACGAAAGACAGGTGTTGAACTCTCTGCTAAGTGATGTAAGCCTAAAAACTGCAAAACAATATTCAAGTCCTGTGAAAAGTCCAGTGACGCCCTCTTTATGGCACAGGACAAGCATCTGTGGCCCACGGGTCTGCCTGCGTGCACATCTGGTCTGCCCGGGTGCACATCCGGTCTGCCCGCCTGCACATCCGGTCTGCCCGGGTGCACATCCGGTCTGCCCGCCTGCACATCCGGTCTGCCACCTGTACGTTTATCTGCTGCGAGGCTCCGTGCCCCTGGCTCCTGCCACATCGCGCCCTTGCCCTAGAATACTAACGCTGCGGTGATGGAGTTAGAAGGAGAAGGAGGTCACGCCGGGGAAGAGCCCCGTGAATGTTCTGTGTGCAAGCAGGCGACGGAAGCCCTTCTCAGTGGAGGAAAGACGGAGACCCAAATAACTCACTTGGGTGCATAGGGATCAAAAATGACATCGAAGTCCTCGTCCAGCTCCACAGGGCTTCTCGGCACATTATAATCCACGCTGCGGTAAAATTTGGCAAAGGTTTCGTCATCATCCGGCTTCATCACCTCCTTCACAGATTTGCCGGTGACGGTGAGCACCGTTTCTTGCATCCCGCCAACTATCAACAAACAAGCAAATGACGTAAGAGTTTTATAGTAACAAGGACTACAATTATGCCTCACAGTAGTTTAAAAACTGTATTTCCGCCTACGTTCCAGGAGTGGAGGAAACACGACTGTGATATACAGGGTCCTGTGGTTGCTTCCCAGGTCCTTACTTCATCGGCCACGTAAGGACTTCCCACCTGAACAGATCTCCCACAGTACCATGACAGGAGAGAGGGAGGCTGACCTTACATTACAGCACACACGGCCCACTCAACGCTTCTGAACCTGTGCTTGCTTCTACTGAAGTAATAGAAGCTATGAACTAGCCTCAGCCTCGTGCTACCTCAAATGTTGGCAAACTTCTTCCAAAAAGGGCCAGGCAGTAAACGCTTTAGGCTTTGCATGGGGAGGGGGGACACAGGGCCTGTGTTGCAACTACTCAGTTCTGCTGTTAAAATGCAAAGGCTGTTGACAGTAGTTCACAAATGGGCGTGTATGTGTTTCAATAAAACTTTATTAACAAAAACAGGGCTAGGCATGGTGGCTCACGCTTATCATCTCAGGACTTTGGGAGGCCAAGGCTGGGGATTGTTTGAGCCCAGGAGTTCAAGACCAGTCTGAACAACATAGCGGGAACCCATCTCTACAAAACCAGACAAAATAATTAGCCAGGCTTGGTGGTGCATGCCCATAGTCCCATGTACTCGGGAGGCTGAGATGGGAGGATTGCTTGAGCCCAGGAGTTCAAAGCTACAGTGAGCTATGATGGCACCACTGCACTCCAGCCTGGGTGACAGAGCAAGATCCTGTCTCTAAAAAACAAACAAACGAACAACACGAAATAAAAGCAGGCGGGCAGCTGGATTTGGCAGTGGCCATCTCTTGCTGACCCACAGCCTAGATCACTGTTCCACGTGTGGAATAAATGCTTTGCTGACTGGCATTCCTTGCTTAGCTAACTCAGTGATTATATTACATTTTATGTTTCTGTTCAGTGGTGACTGTATTATTTTCAACCTTTTAATGGTCACTGTTAACAGTAGGGACTCCCAGCGCCTAGTAATTGGTAAGTTTCCAGGACTGGATATTTTAATCAAGAGATAAAAGGCTATTTTTTTTTTGTATACCTTATTGAGTTTTATATTGAAATATTTCAACATTCATTTGCTATAATTTTCTTTTAGAAATCATTTGTGATATAGGAAATAATATCAGCTTTTACCTTATTGGAAATTGATAACATGTAATTTAAAGTTCACCAGGCCCAAGATCACATTGATTTTGCCAACATGGAATAATGTGCTTTCAGAGTTAGATGCAAAATCACTCAGTTCACAATTCTGATTGGATGACATCCAAGGGTTTAGATTCAATTAAAAAATGTATTATTGGAAGTCCCCAATTTACTACATTATCAAGTGAATCAGGGCTTGATAGTCTAATCAGGCTTGACCAAAACTTCAGGTTTTGAAAGGTAACAGCAAAGATCATGATGGTAGTATGGATTAGTGAAGCCATAATAGAAAGAAAACAATTTAGCTGAGGAAGAAAAGCAGTCAGAATTAGGATTTAGAGATTCTGAGAGCGAAGCCTTCTGGCTTCCGGTAGGTACCTTTGTTATTCAGCCTCCTTAGAAAGGTTTCCAGCCTGTCCAATTTCAGGTCTGATTCTAACTGCATATCTGGTCTGGCTTCGATGTCTAGGCAAGCAGAAACCGTCAGTGAGACAGCATCACGAAGGCCTCTTCTGGTCAGAAACTGCTTGGCATGGCTGGGGCCTTGGCTACTTACCTTCCAGGGGTTTGGAAACGGGTGTGGTGCCTCTTGTTTTACTGCAAATGGGTGAGGCCACTGGGGTTATGGCAGTGGGTGACGCCAAACCTGCGGAACACACAGATGAGCTACTGAGCACCTCAGGGTCACGTCTGGAAATCCCTGGGACCCTGACGGATCTCCAGGAGTCCCAAGGTAGATGGCACAACATATAAGAATTTGCACACCTGCAGACACACACACATACATTTCACAGGTACCGCGACTGTGGGACTACCAACTGCAAATGCAGACTGCAGTGGCTGACAAGCCAATATTCCAAAATGAACAGTCAAGCCGTGGGAAAACATGTCCATGACACGTGAACTCGAGCAGAAGCAGCTGCAAGTTCGGAGGCCCTTTGCGGGTGTCAGGGGCAGCTGAGAGTGCACTGGTGCATCTGCAGAATGAGCTGTGTCACACTCGCCAGCAAGAGGCCCCCAGCACAGGAGCTCTCCTCCAGGCTGAGGGGAGAGAGGGACAGTGGCCTTGGGGACATGACACAGACAGTAACCCAAGGAGGGACAACCTTTCAGAAGAAACCACGGGGCAGGTCTAGACCGACTGTGGGTGTTGGAGGATTCTGTCCAATTCCGGTGTGGGCGGAAACCAGAAATGTCTTTCTTCGTATATTTACCGAGAAGCAGGGTGGGGAATCTTTAAAAGGGCAAGTAAGAGACATATGAAAGGGAAAGGGAGGAATCCCAGCGTGGAGAACATACCCAGCTGGAAGAAAACCTAGTGAGAGAAGGATGAGTAAGGCTTCCCTAACCTAAGTAGAAGGCATTGGAAAGAAAACTGATTAGTGCATTTACATAAAATGAGAAGTGAGTGTTCTCTGTACTCATTTGTAATAAATGTGAAATCCTTAGATGACACTGCCACTTAGATGGCAATGCATCCCTGGACGAACAACATCCGGAGAATATGCAAATCACTATCACCTACAAGGAAAACTGAATGAATGAATGATTCTGCTCCTT